CCCACTTAGAGTTTATTTTTGTGTTTATTCTAACCTAAAATTCTTAACTCTTTGCATGTGTAAATCCAGTTTTGCCAGCACCCTCTTATGGAGAGACTTTGGTTTATCTGTTGTATATTGTTGATTCTCATGCTGAAAATCAGATTGTCCTGAGTGTACCAGTTTATGTCTGAACTCTCAATATATATTTCTGCCTATCCCATCTTGTTTTTATTACTCTACTTTTGTCATTACTTTGGAAATCTGGAAGTAAAATGCCTTCCAGTAGATCTTGCCTTGTTACAGATACTCTAGCAAAATATTTTAACATTTTGCTAATTAATTAAGTATGATAACAGATATGGCTTTTCATAATGACGTTTATTATATACAGATTATATACATTTGTTCCTACTTTTTAGAGTTTTTATTATGAAATCTTGATTTTTAAATGTTATTTTCTGTGTCTAGTGAGAAATTAATGGAAATTTTTTTCTTTATTATCTTAGTTAAGCACACCAAATGTATTAACTTGAGGATGTTGAGTCATCCGTGCATCTCAAAATAAATTTTAGTTTGCTATGGTGTATAACTCTCTCTTTTTTTTTTTGGAGACAGAGTCTTGCTCTGTCACCCAGGCTGGAGGACAGTGGTGCAATCTTGGCCCTCTGCACCCTCCACCTCCCAGGCTCAAGTGATTCTCCTGCCTCAGCCTCCCAAATAGCTGGGATTACAGGCATGTGCCACCACACCCGGCTACTTTTGTATTTTAGTAGAGATGAGGTTTAAGATTTTGGCCATGCTGGTCGTAAATGTCTGACCTCAGGTGGTTCATCACCTCGCCCCCCCAAAGTGCTGGCTTACAGGTGTAACTCACTGCACCCAGTCGGTGTATGATCCTTTTAAAGTCCTCTAGAACTTAGTCGACTATTACTGGGAGTAGTTTATTTATGTATACTAGGAATATTTGAAGTGTAACTTTCTTCTTTTGCCATTGTCTATTACTGGTAATATGGTTATTGTAGCCTTTTAGAGAGAGTTGAGAACGTTGGAGCCTCACCAATTTTTGAAAAAGTAGAGAATAGTTGGCATTATTGTTCTTTTAATTTTGAAATTTATTTTTTATTTAACATACATCCATCATGAAGAATATTTACTGTGTGCTTGGGATGCATGTATATTACGCTGCCCTTGGTTGAAAGGTTCTGTAGATGTCTATTAGGTCAGGTTGTTCAATAGCGTTGGGTAAACCCACTGGCTTCCTAAGAATGTTTTGTGGATGTTCTATACATTATTGAGGATGAGGTGTTGGAGTCTCCTCCTTTTTATTGTTTTCTATTTCTACCTTCATATCTCTTAACTGATTAATACAGTTATACTTCTATTTTTACAAGTATGTAAAATAGAAATAAAATAATTGCTTAGTAATTTTAATGGGAAAGTCACATAATGAGAAATTATGTTTCCAGAATGCTGCCATCACCGCTACACTCCTCCAGGAGTCTCACGTCTGCTCTGGGCTTCGCTCTCTCCTCAGAGTTTGCTACAGAGGAGGAGACACAAATAAGACCCTCCCCATCCTGATGAAAACCAGCCCAGCCCTGACCCTACAGCTCTGGAGAAGAGCCCCAGTGAGAATTACCAGGAATTTTGATTTGATGATCAGCTCTGAACACAGATGGCTCACCATAGAGTTACGGATGAGCTGGCTTTTCCTTGTTGGTATTTTAAAAAGCCAATAATGGAGAACTAGAGATATTGAGTGTGAGTGGATATGAGTGAAAAAACATGATTATATGCAACAGTTTCTTACCAAAATGTCTCCATGTTTGTAGGTGTCTAGGCTGAGGTGCAGGTGGTGAATCTGGGGAAGAGGCAGGAGGCAGAAAAGTGCATAGGAGGCCGGGCGAGGCTGTAGACAGTATCAGCCCACTATGCCAATCCAAGAATCTTGATGTGAGAGCCTCCGGGATTGAACAATTTGACAGCTCATGTGCCCAGGCAGTTTCATTTCTCAACTTTCCACACTGATATATCCAGAAGTCAGCTTCTCTTCCCAGGTGACCCCCATCATGCAGTGAATGGTGACAGTATCCCAGGGGTCACATACATGTATTAAATATTGGCTGCACGTGGGGAAGAGACATATTTTCCACTCTCCTCTGAAGGACCAGGAACACCTCAACAGACCATCTCCCCTGTCCTCATGACTAGAACTTCACCACATGCTCACATAGACACTCATCCCTTATGGGCATAAAAAGATTCCATTGATGAGGCTGACTGTTTTATTACATAAAATTACTAAAGACTGACATAAAATTTTCAGAACTAATTGAAGTCTGTTATTCTATGTAGACTACAGATCTTCTAATGGCATCTTCCTTGTCTTTTCTACCTGACTTTGTCTCTTCACCGTGTTCTGTCCTCCAGACAATCTCTCTCAGCTCCCTCAGGTTCATGCACTTGTTTTATTTACTGACAGTTTCTAAATCAGTGCAAGACATTAGACTAAAGGCTCTATATTTCTTGGTCCATATTCCTAAGAAGGCTTTGTGACCCTGTGTCTGGCGTGAGCTTGCGATTGTTTGTGACCCTTCTCTAGATGACATGCTGGTCTGTGTTTTCTTGCCCCTTCCCCTGGGGTAGAGTCTCCCTGTTTCCCCGAGGTGTTGCCTCCCACAGCTCCAGTGTTCTCCACCTGTGTCATCACCTTCCAGATCTACTGCCCTGCCCTGCAGACTAAGGCTCTGATCCCATAAGAAACAGGGGAACTGCTTCCCAGTACAACTTGGTTGGGGAAACGTGTTCCCATCTCCATTCCTGATAAGTTGCAGCAGTGCCTTTAGGGTGTACATGTGTTGATGGTTTTTTCCTGCAGAGTAATTTCTTAGTTCTGTAGTGGGGAAAAGACAAGACAGTTGGGCTTGGACACATTTCAGAAGTGTGGTCTCTCATATTCTTTCAAACAGACACTTTGGGAAGGGAAGATTTTTGTGACTGTTCCAATTATAAAGAAAGGGAATGGTCGATCCCAAGATGGCTGAATAAGAGGCAGCTCCAGAAAGCAGCTCCCAGCGAGAGAGGTGCAGAAACCGAGTGGTTTCCACAATTCCAAATGAGTTACCAGGTTCATTGTGTGAGTCTTGTAGGACAGTGGGTATAAACACCAAAAGCAATGGCAACAAAAGCCAAAATAGACAAATGGGATCTAATTAAACTCCAGACTTTCTGTATAGCAAAGGAAACAATCATTAGAGGGAAGCAGCAACCCAAAAAATGGGAAAGATTTTTGCAATCTACCTATCTGATAAAGGGCTGATATCCAAAATCTACAAAGAACTAAAACAGATTTACAGGAAAAAAAACAAACCCATTCAAAAGTGAGCAAAGGATATGAACAGACACTTTACAAAAGAAGACAACTATGAGGCCAAGAAGCATATGAAAAAATGATCATCATCACTGGTCATTAGAGAAATGCACATCAAAACCACATTGAGATACTATCTCACACCAGGTAGAATGGCAATCATTAAAAAATCTGGAGACAACAGATGCTGGAGAGGATGTGGAGAAATAGGAACACTTTTAGACTGTTGGTGGGAGTGTAAACTAGTTCAAACATTGTGGAAGACAGTGTGGCAATTCCTCAAGGATCTAGAAATAGAAATACTATTTGACCCAGCAATGCCATTACTGGGTATATATCCAAAGGATTATAAATCATTCTATTATAAAAACACATGCATATGTATGTTCATTAGGACGCTTTTTACAATAGCAAAGACTTGGAACCCACCTAAATGCCCATCAATGATAGGCTGGATAAAGAAAATGTGGCACATACAACCTGGAATACTATGCACCCATAAAAACGGATGAGTTCATGTCCTTTGCAGGGACATGGATGAAACTTGAAACAATCATTGTCAGCAAACTGGCACAAGAACAGAAAACCAAACACTGCATGTTCTCACTCATAAGTGAGTGTTGAACAATGAGAACATATGGACACAGGAAGAGGATGGGGAACTGGGGGCTGGGGAAACAGGAGGTGGGGGATTGGGAAGGGAATAACATCAGGAGAAATATCTAATGTAGATGATGGGGAGATGGATGCAGCAAACTACTGTGGCATGTGTATACTTACGTAACAATCCTGCATAATCTGCACATGTACCCCAGAACTTAAAGTATAAAAAAAAGCAAAAAAAAAAAAAAGATTAGTAGCTGTCTGTGAATATGTTGGAAGAAGGGAAAGAGAAAGGATAAGAAAATGTAGAAGGACAGAAGAAAAGTTGAGGTAATTTAACTTGTCCACTTTCTTGATAATGGTAATAGTTATGATTATCAATTTTATACTTTAAATCTGTAAAGTGTATAATCTGTCAATCAAACCCTATAAAATTTATAACAATGAAACAAGTTGAGTATCAGACAAGACAGGAGTGGCAGAAAGATAGATGCCAGTATGTTCATTGTCAGAGATCTATCTGAACCCTAGTTCTCTCCATAGTTTTAGGTAAACAGGAGAATACAGCAAAATCACATCGATTCTGATCCAGCAGTGGCTTCTGCAAACCACACTAGGCATGTGCAGCTCTGCCCTGGAGTTGGCTTAGGGAGGAGTCAGGGCCGGTGGTGAGAAGCGCAGGCCCAGATACCAGCACTCGTTCATCCCAGACATGAACCCTGAGATACACCCGGAGCCCGTCTATGTGTGGGCTTACTTTAACATCTGTAAATAGAGAACATCGACTCCTGTGGAACATAATTTACACACATAGATGAAACTGAAATAAGGTGATCACTGCAAAGTTTCTATCACAGTACAATTTTAAGCACATTTTCTCAAACCCAGGTGTTGTCACCAGTTTACCTCAGGACACCCTCATCTTCTCGGGGTCTTGCTTGCTCTTTACGTGTCTCACCCCGCAGCTTGCTATATAGCTGGAGACATGCAAATAGGGCCCTCCCTCTGCTGATGAAAGTCAGCGCAGCCCTGACCCTGCAGCTCTGGGAGAGGAGCCCAGCCCAGGATTCCCAGGTGCTTCTGCTTGCTGATCAGGAGGCACACAGAGCACTCACCATGAAGACTGAGCTGAGCTGGGTTTTCCTTGTTGCTATTTTAAAAGGTAATTCATGGAGAACTATTGAAATTGAGTGTGAGTGATAAGAGTGAGATAAACGGTGGATATTTGTGGCACTTTCTGACCAGGATGTCTCTGTGTCTGCAGGTGTCCAGTGTGAGGTGCAGCTGGTGGAGTCTGGGGGAGGCTTGGTTCAGCCTGGGGGGTCCCTGAGACTCTCCTGTGCAGCCTCTGGATTCACCTTCAGCAGCTAGCTATAGCATGAATTGGGTCCGCCAGGCTCCAGGGAAGGGGCTGGAGTGGGTCTCATACATTAGATATGATGGTGGTAGCACATACTACGCAGACTCCGTGAAGGGCCGATTCACCATCTCCAGAGACAACGCCAAGAACTCGCTGTATCTGCAGATGAACAGCCTGAGAGCCGAGGACACGGCCGTGTATTACTGTGCGAGAGACACAGTGAGGGGAAGTCAGTGTGAGCCCGGACACAAACCTCCTGCAGGGGACCCCGCGACCACCAGGGGGCGCCCGGGCGCTGTACACGGGGCTGTCTCGGGGCAGGTGCAGGTGCTGCTGAGGGCTGGCTTCATGTCATGGTCTGGGGCTGACTCCTCATCAGGTTTCCTCGGAGAACCTTTCAGATTTATGATTCTGTACTAACACAATGTCTCTGAATGTGAAACCTTTCCCCCCGGTGTTTATTTTAGCAGGAGGACACATCCTCACCTCCACAGAAGCCGGAGGGCACAGAAATGGCCCTCCCCTGGCCACCAGAATCTGAGTCCCGAGGATGCCCAGGAGAAGCTGGGAAGAGTTTTCCACTCAGACTCAGGGCAGACATCTCCGTGGGAATCTCTGATTGGAACAGGCTTTGGGATTCAGATTGGGACTAAGAGGGAGGCTCATCCAGGCCCAGGGCCCTTACAACCCTGACATTTTTCAGAGGAACCTCACTGTCCTGTAAAGCTGAACATCAGGCTCAGGACTAGTCCATCTGTCCCTTTCTCTGCTGCTCCATTTTCCTTTCCTCCAGGCTTCATTCTTACACTTGCCTTTTCTCCTTCTTTTTTTCTGAAAATGGAGTGTGTGCTTCCTGTGGTCTAAACCGCAGGTCTCAGACACATTACCTGGAAATCAGGGTGGCTCAGGCTGTGGCTCCTGCAGAACCCGGCAGGCTGAGGGGTCTTTCTTATCCCCCATTGCCTTGAGGACCCTTCTGTCTTCTATGCATGGACGCATTTGGGAGTTGGGAAATGCAAGTGGACACTTATAGTCATTTCTTCGAATGGGATATTGATGAAGAGCTGATCCTGCGCTTCTCATTCTGTCTCAGAGCCCCCCTCACCTGTGACTTTCGAGAGAGCTGAGGATAGACACTTTGTTGTGCGGTGGGCTCTGTGTGACAGCAGTTGTGAGGTCTGCTAGGCACAGCCAAAGACAATGGAGCCGACCATCAGAAAAGACAGGCTGGAATTCCTGAGAAGTTCCACAGTCAAGTCATAGGGTTCCATTATCTTCTCTTCTGCTGGGATTAAATCACACCAACCAAATTCATCCAGGACAATCTTCCTGACCTGCAAAAAAGTGATGACAGGCTTTAATAACGCCTGTAGTGTACCGTCAGAGCAACACATGAATCCGTGTTTGATTGAATGACTGACATTATGTTCCAGTCCAGGTGACATTCAAAACCAATTATTACCATGATTAATATTTTATATTTTACACTGATTAATATTTAATGCTAACATTAATCAATGCAATATTAATATTAATACTTAATATTTTAAATTTGATAATACGATCAGACTCATGTTCTAATAATTTTGCTAAACTATGTGTGTCATTATTGGTCTTCGGAGCAAAAATCTCCAGGAGTTGCTTAAGTTTGCATGCGTTTGTGGAAGAAGGGCATCAACCCTTTTGAGGGAAAATGTGTGGAGGGTAAATGAGGCTGGGGAAGCTGATGGCATAAGATGGGGGCCTGTACCTGAGTGAAGGAGAGAGGGGACGAGGATTGGGTGGAAATTTCCTATATTTCTGTACTGTGCTAAGAAAGCCTGGAATATCACTGAGTCTTCTGCAAGTCAAAGCTGCCCCTCAGGAAACCCCCAAAACCCCCAGCACTGGCTCTGGCTCAGATGAGTGCAGAGCTCACTCTGTTCCTGATAATGGAGCACAGGACATGGGCTTCAGCATGAGCCATGTCATGCATGTCACAGAGCAGCAGCCAGATGCATGATCCAAGTACCTAGCTCTGCCTGGAGGTGCAGGGAGAAAGGTGCCTTGTCAGAGCTAACACGCTGCGGATTTTTATACAGGACGCACGTTTTTCTTAATTTATTGGAAGGCATATGAATATGTGTGCAGACTGCAAACAGTTGTAATTTTCACATTGATCTGTTCCAGGATGTTCTGCAGGATTATTTCATCATCGTGCAGGACACCCTGGAACAAAGTTGCAGTTTTCGTGGGTATTATACACACACATATACATAAATATTGGCAAACATTATAAAATTGATTCTAATATTTTTGTGCAAAATGATCACTTTCAAACAAATTTTAACAGCAGAATCCAGATATATCTTTCCACTGGATACAAAACCGTGACATTACTTAAACATGATTTTAAAATATTTTACATCGAGTAATAAGGACAGTGATTGTTGAGAGAGGGAAAGCGTAAAAAGGAGCCCGCTGATGAATGCATGGTCACCTTCTTGAGAGACTTTCCAGGCACCTCAGGTAGGAACAGGTAGATCTGAAGCTGAGGAAAAGGAGCTGATATCTCAGACAGGCCAAGAAGTGTGGAGACCAGAGAATACACACAGGATTGCAGAACACTGTTCAGAGAGTGAGCCCCACAGATGGCAGGAGGGTGACCCCGGCTTTGTAGAGACCTGTGTGTGGGAACCAGGGCAAGTTGTACATGAGAACACACCCCATTAGAGGGGCTTTTCTCAAAATCTAAGACTATGGAAAATATATAAAATAATTGCCTAGTTTAACATATACCAAAATATATCTGGATAAAGCCAAATAAAAAACAGGTGAATTCACTGCACTAATTGCTAGAAAAGTGTATTTCCAAACAGTGATACCATCAAAGAGGGTGAACAAATCAACTCCATCCTGGCAGTCGACTTAGCAGAAAAATATTTAAAATACTTATGGACCTACGAAAGAAACTTTAAACACAAGATGAATAGAGTTATCTAATTACAGGAGTGATGGTGTAGGAAGCCCCACGCTTTCCATTGAAACAACCGATCCGGTAAAATAAATGTAAATTTCAACCATTTAAAATCAATGCAAATTATTCTAAGAAAACACAGTAAATGAAGGTTATTGATCAATAAAATGTGCTGCTATATATTGAATGTTTATTAACCCCACAGCGTCCATGTTGGAATGAACCCAACATGAGGGTGTTAGGAGGTGGGGCCTTTAGTAAGTGAATAGATGTTTTGGGGAGATGTTGAGGTGCCATCTTTATAAGTAAGATTAGTGCCCTCATGTGGAAATCCAGAGTTTTCCGGCTCCACTTCCACCATGTGAGGACAGAGTAGGATGATGCTCCTCTATGAATCAATAATTGGGTCTTCACCAGATACCAATCTCAAAACCATCTTGATCTGTAACTTCCTTGCCTTGGGAATTCAGAAACACATGTTTATGTTATTTCTGAGCCACCCATTTTGTTGAGTTTTCTTATAGCAGCTGAAACAGACTAAAACATTCATGAGGTCTCAGGAAGGGCAGTGAGGGTCCACCATACTTAAGAGATGAGCATTACTCTCTCATTGTCAGCTCAGGATGACAGAGTCTTGCCCTTGAGCTGATCTGACAAGAAGATGGTGCTTCCTCTCCCCCATATCTCAGTTGACGCCACGGTGTCAGATCTCTACGGTGGAGAATAAATTACAATCTGTGATGTGATGGATGTTTATCTCCTCCCAGCTTCACTTACAAGGCAGAGTTTCCATGCCATGCATTATAGGCCAAAAATACAGGGACCCCATTGATTCTCCCTGCTGCTCACTCATATGGCAGAGCTTCTGGGGAGCTTCCTGCGAGAGGCACAGTGAGACTATATGAGTCCACTATTCACATACAGTGTTGTGCTCCTGAAGCAGGAGTGTCACACTGAGAATCGTGAATAACTTTGTGTGCACCATGGCATAGGCTGTTATGTTTTTATAGTTAAAGGCGCAGGGCATAAAACAGAGATACAGAACTCTCTACATTGTGTGACTTTATTCGCAGTCAAATGTGAATCATTTCTACCTTAAAGTTCTCCTTATGCACATAATATATTTTTATTATAAGTAAGTAATGAAAAGATGACAGCTCCATGAGAGCAATAAAACACTTGGTTTAGCAGAATGAGAAATAGTGGAATTTAAGAATAATCAGCTGGACACTGTGCCATGTGCCTATATTTTCAACTAGTCAGGTTGTTAATGTGGGAAGATCACTTGAGCCCAGGATTTCATGGCCAGCCTGAAAAGTACTGCTAGGCCCATTTTCTGCAAAAGAAAATAACATTCTGGGTCATGAAAAAACCTGAAAAACTGCCCCTCAAAATAGGAACAAATATAATTGCATTAGACTGTGGATCCATTTTTGACACAAAACAGTGACACTGTGTCAGTAATGAGTACAGAATAATATCCAGTTGTTATTTTAAGAAATACAGACTCTCAGAGACATCAGACAGAGGCTGTCTAAGGCAACACTGCCAAATGACTCCTTTCCATCGACATTGTGTGTATATCCAGGAATTCACCTGTGAATGGTGACATCATGTCTCTCACGGTGTGAAGTAAAAAGACATTACTACCGTCTAACAAAGGATTAATAATGAGAACATACCAGGATCTCAAACACCTCCATAGAAAAAACATGGGACCAATTAACATAAAAATCAGCTACAACGTGTGTGTGTGTGTGTGTGTCTGTGTGTGTGCACCTGCACTTGTAGGCATTCTGAGGTGCAGGAATCAACTGCAGGATCCTAAAGGAAATAAGACTCTCCCCCAAAACCCTGAAGAGTTTTTGGATTCTCCATGTGTCCAGTGATTCAGTGCCTCTTGAGCTCTGGGAAAGGTCTCCCTGGTGATGCATAAGATCTTATCTTAGGATTATCCTGCAGTCTTTTCTGGGTTGCCTAAGGCCAATTCAGTATTTCAAAAGATGGTGTGTGAAGCATATGGTGTCACTAAAAGAGAATTCTGGGCCTGGGCAGCACAGACACTTTATACTGGGCTAGAGACACTGGCAGGAATATACTGTCACCTGCTTGCAGGATGGGAGCTGGGCTGCAGGGGGCGCTCAGAACACACCCAGCACAGGCTCCTGCCCGAGCAGGTGCACAGCATAGGAGGCTGGGGACGGTTTCCTCTCAGGTCCTGGGACTTCCTTTAAAAATATCTAAAATAAGTATTTCACAAGGACTGCTGATGTTCATATAAATATCCTGTTCAATTGTGAATATTTGTCAAACTGGACGTTGTAATGAGACCCACTTTTAAAATGGGGATTTCAAACTCTGCTAGATAGCCTAACAGTAAGCAGCTGGAGGTCAGGAAGAGATTCTTATTTATAAGTTCCACTTTGGAGTAACACACTCATTCCCAAAATAACACGTTCACCTATCAAGGTCTAGAAATGGTTCAAGTTGCCCCTGAGACACTCAAATGTGGGTTCAAAGTGAGGTGCGTGTCCTGTGGGAGCCTGTTTCCAGTGGGGGAAGCTCTGTCAACACAGAGTTCAGGGATGTGTGGGGGACACATGGCCTCTAACAGGATTACAGCTTGAACCCTCAGATTCTACGATTGTGTCGTCCATGTGTCATCTATTTGCTCTTTTTCATACTGGGTCAGGAATTGGGCTATTAACAATCATCTTTCATGAATATGCAAATAACTGAGGTGAATATAGAGATCTCTGTGCCTAAGAGCATCACCCAACAACCACACCCCTCCTCGGAGAAGCCCCAGAGCACAGCTCCTCACCATGAACTGGACCTGGAGGATCCTCTTCTTGGTGGCAGCGGCTACAGGTTAGGGGGTCCCCAGTCCCAGGGTTGAGGGAGAGATCAGTCCAGTAAAGACAAACTTCACCCACTCCTGTCTCCTCTCCACAGGTGCCCACTCCCAGGTGCAGCTGGTGCAGTCTGGGCCAGAGCTGAAGCAGCCTGGGGCATCGGTGAAGGTCTCCTGCAAGGCTTCTGGATACACCTTCACCAGCTATGCTATCCACTGGGTGCGACAGGCCCCTGGACAAGGGCTTGAGTGGATGGGATGGATCAACACCGACACCGGGAAGCCAACATATGCCCAGGGCTTCACAGGACGGTTTGTCTTCTCCATGGACACCTCGGTCAGCACAGCATATATTCAGGTCAGCAGCCTGAAGGCTGAGGACACGGCCGTGTATTACTGTGCCAGAGACACAGTGTGACAACCCGCATCCTGAGAGTGTCAGAAACCCTGAGAGAGGAGGCTGCTGAGCTGAGCTGAGGCCGTGGTACAGCAGTTTCCTTAACTTCCACATTATATCGTTTAGCATTGACTTCCCCTTTTACATGAGCCAAGAATGTGGGATAGATGGTTGCTCCTAAGAGATCCTTAACTAGCCCATTCTTAAGGGTTTTCCAGAATATGTGAGAAGCCACTTTGTTTGCAAAGCAGCCCAAAGTCACGCCCTGTTCCAGACACATGTGTGCCCATTCCTGGTCTTCGGGTAACTGACAAGCACTTATCAGTGCACCTGGGCTAATTTCACATCAGGAAGAGGAACTCATGTTCTCTAGGAAAGCTAACGTTGGAATAGCAATTCCAGCTTAACAACCTTCAGCTTCATTGTTGTGTGATCCATCAGCTAATTATGTTAGTTCAAGGTTCTCAGTGGGAGTTTCTGATAAATCTAAGGGATGAATAGAAGTTCCCCTAATCAAAATAACACACTTGTGAACAAAAACTCAGCATTCAGCCATGTCTTCACCCTTCACACTGTTCACCACAGAGTAATTTTCACCTCTCCTGGAAGTCGGGTTCATTTTCAAATTAGCTTTTCTTTTAATTTTAATATCTCAAGAATATTGTATGTGACTATTTTAACAGAAAGTGAATTATGGGAACTTGAACTAAGCAACTGAAAATAAATTCACAACTAATTAAACAAGATGCCAGAATGTGATCGGCTGCAGGCTTTGTTACTTCAGCAGTTTATGTACTCAGGCTTTAAATGCACATCTACCTGTTACCTTCATGGCAGTCAACTCCCATTATGTAAGAAATGGTGATGGCATTCCCAACGGTCATGCACAGTTATAAGAAGATACTGGGTGAACTGAGGGGTTGTTTAAATTCTTCTGAAGAAGCAACATCAACTCAGCAAACCACTTCTCTTCCCTCTGTGACTAGAGCTATGTCACAGCCACATGCACCTAAACCCTTGATGCAGATAAGATGACTACATGAATTGAGCTGGTCACTTTTAGGCTATAATATTAATAGATGACGCTGCATTCCAGCCTGGGCAACAGAACATGTCTTTGTCTGTAATATAAAAAAGAAAGATAAATTGACAGATAACTGACTTTGACATTTCGGATAATAACATTTTCACAACCACAATTTAATTAACCCAAATTGTAAGCTACATCTTCACTGAAAAGTTCCTAGTTTTGTTGATTTCCATCAACACTCCAAGTGTTCAGATCTGGGCATCCCAGAGAGTCTGGGGAATAAAACACAATGAGGGCAGTGAACCTGGTGTGTTTCCAGCATATCCTTACTCAGGGGGACTCAACACACCCTGGCACATGGCTGCTCCTCTGAATGACTCGCAAGGACTTCAGGACTCTGCATCCTCCTCAAACATCCACCCCCCACTGGCCCTAAGTTCACGCTCTTCGTCTGCGCTCTGAACTCTTCACACGGGTGAAAATGAGTTTTCAGATGGAACTTCCTTCCCACATAAACATGGAATTTACTATTTTATTTAATGACCACTCTTTCCACAATGGTTGGTTTATTTTGGTCTGTTCATTACTGGTGATTTTCAAAGGAATGTCACTTGAATCTTTAACTCTTTCGCATTTTGTCTCCATGACAATATTGGGAAATTTTACCTCTAGCATAATAACATAATCTAGTGACCTGACACATTTATAGTAAACAGTACCTACGAATTCAGAAGCTCTTCATTTTTCTTCCTACGAGCCATAATTCTATTATGTGTTTGATCATATCCCAGCATCCCTCTACACATCTGCCTATAGGTCTACAAGCCTATGGATTGTTTTCTGTTAATAAAGTGTATCTCGATCCCCTTCAATGTTCATAATTCTCCGAGGGTGAGAAAGGAGCAGAGGAGAAAGGTCTTCCTGGATCTGTTCAAACAAAAGGCCCAGAGACCACCTGGCCGGTAAGGAGGTCACCTGGCTCTGGATGCCATGTCTGTCTCTTCTTCCTCGTTGCTTCCCAGAAGGTCAGCTCATTTGTTCAGCTCCTAAGAAGAGAGCCCAGATTTGTCCTGATTTTAAGACACACCCAACTTCTGACGACTCTCCTCTTACCCACATCCATGGAGATAGATTGTTTATTCTATAATTCACTGAAGTAATGTCAAATGCACATGCTGCAATATGGCGCACTAAGGGCATGTCCTTGCAATTCAATGGAGGAGAAAACCTTTCAGAGACAGGTGGATCTGAATTGGTAAATATGTGGGTAAGAGGAGCTCTGGGCTTGGGTGTCATTGTCCAGCCATGTTTCACAGGTGTGACCTGTCAGGGAAGTACCAGGGTTCCTTGTGCTCTCAGAGGGGAGGGCTCACAGATATTCTCTCTGAATCCTAAGGAAGGTAATTGCACTGATCTTAGTGATGAGACTTTCCTCCAGTGCTGATCTATTATAGAGATTTTTTCTTAAATTGTCATTGCCATCGCCAATCCGCATCTTTTCACATGGATATGTTTTGAGGTCAGGCCATATCTTCAGGGTCATTTAAGGGTGGAGCCGTATTGAACCTTTTCCACAATGTATCCTTCATCCATGATCACACTCACCTCCCAGACCAGCTCCTTCAGCACATCTCCCTACCTGGAGGAAGAGGACTCTGGGCTTTTCGTGGGGAGGCCCCAGGAAGAGAACTGAGTTCTCAGAGGGCACAGCCAACATCCTCCTCCCAGGGAGAGCCTGAAAGTCTGGGGCCTCATCATCCCTTCATACAAAGTCACCACCCACAGGCAAATCGTCACTTAGGCACCCACAGGAAACCACCACACGTTTCCTTAAATTCCGGGTCCTGCTCACATGGGAAATGCTTTCAGAGAATCATGGACTTCACGTGCAAGAGCATGAAACACCTGTGGTTCTTCCTTCTCCTGGTGGCAGCTCCCAGACGTGAGTGTCCCAGGGGTGCAGATATGAAGATATGGGGGCTGCCTCTGAGCCCAGGGCTCACCGGGTGTCTCTCTGTTCACAGGGGTCCTGTCCCAGGTGCAGCTGCAGGAGTCGGGCCCAGGACTGGTGAAGCCTTCGGAGACCCTGTCCCTCATCTGCGCTGTCTCTGGTTACTCCATAAGCAGTGGTTACTGGTGGAGCTGGATCCGCCAGCCTCCAGGGAAGGGGCTGGAGTGGATTGGGAGAATCTATCGTAGTGGGAGCACCTACTACAACCCGTCCCTCAAGAGTCGAGCCACCATATCAGCAGACACGTCCAAGAACCAGTTCTCCCTGAGGCTGAGCTCTGTGACCGCCGCGGACACGGCCGTGTATTACTGTGCGATACACAGTGAGGGGAGGTGAGTCTCAGCCCAGACACAAACCTTCCTGTAGGGAGGCGGCGGGGCGGGCGCAGGTGCTGCTGAGGACCAGCAGGGGGCGCGCGGGGCCCACAGAGCCCGAGGCTGGGTCTGGAGCAGGTGCAGGGAGGGCGGGGCTTCCTCATGTGCTCAATGGTCTCCCTCCCCGCCGGCGCCTCAGCTGTCTCCAGGGCTCCCCTTTCTTTATTATGTTTTTCTGCTTCCTCACTTGCTTGCTGCAAGCAAAAAAGGAAGAAGACAAATTTCCTGTTAACTGTTGAGGTTTCACCAATTACTAGAGACTTTCCTGCATGTTCCTGAATGGCTCATTTCATCGTCTTTTTATATAGACTAAAGATCCTCACCATCTCTTGATCTGTGTCATCAGCCGAATTGTGCCCTATTTGCTGAAACCTTAAATCCCGATGGATCTATATTGAAGAGAGGAATTTCAAGAATATAATTAAGGTTAAATGTGGTCATGAGTGTGAGATCCTAATGCAATAGACCTGCTGTCTTTTTAAGAAGAGGAAGAGACACCAGAGACCTCTCACTTCTCACGTGCACACAGAGAAGGGCCACGTGGAGACCCGGTGCATTAGAACGTGGCCCTGTACAAGCCTTGAGGAAGCCTCACCAAGAACCAACGGTGACAGCACCTTGATCTTGGACATTCAGACTGTACACTTGTAAGAAAATCAATATTTGTAGTTTGAGCCACCCACTCCTGTTATCTTCTTAAGAAGCCCCATACAGACTAATCCCACACAACCCTCTTAGTTCTGTCCCCTGCAGGGAGAAGCAGCCCCCTGAGGCTGGGCACATCTCTCAGATTTCCACTTGAAGTTGTTAGAACTTGGCCAATATCATGAGAACAACATGGGGAAACTGCCTCCATGATCCAGTCACCTCTCACCAGGTCTCTCCATGACAGGTGGGATTAGAATTTGAGATGAAATGTAGGCAGGGACACAATGCCAATCTATACCACATGTCCAGCTCTGTCCTAGGGTTGTCTCAGGGATCCAGCAGGACCTATTGATAGAAACAGTGACACCGGCCAGGCGCGGTGGCTCAAGCCTGTAATCCCAGCACTTTGGGAGGCCGAGGCGGGTGGATCATGAGGTCAAGAGATCGAGACCATCCTGGTCAACATGGTGAAACCCCGTCTCTACTAAAAATTACAAAAAATTAGCTGGGCATGGTGGCGCGTGCCTGTAATCCCAGCTACTCAGGAGGCTGAGGCAGGAGAATTGCCTGAACCCAGGGGGCGGAGGTTGCGGTGAGCCGAGATTGCGCTATTGCACTCCAGCCTGGGTAACAAGAGCGAAACTCCGTCTCAAAAAAAAAAAAAAAAAAAGAGACAGTGACACCAAGCTCACCCCATCAGTTGTAGCTGACAGCATGCAAAGCCAAGAGATCTCTCAACGGAGATTTAGTGTAGACGTCATGTCTGATGAAGTCGCACACTCAGAGCAAGTGAATATGGAAAAGGTGATGATCCTCTGCTGAGAGCAGGGCAGATCTCCCAGAAAAACCTAAAACGTCTTGAAAGAGGAGGAAAAGAGCCTGGCTCAGGGTTTTTATAATGGTTTAGTGGTGGGGACAGGGTGAGGCTTCCCAGTCACAGAACAGGGTTTATGGGATTTGAAACTCCCACTGTCATAGAATAAAGAAGCTCCTATGATTTCAAACTAGATTCACCTTGTGTGTCAGAAATGGAGATCATGGAGGAGTGAGCCTTAAGTCGTCAGCAGTCATGCACCAAAAAATAGTGTGACAAATTATTCTATGAAGCAAGAATAAAAATAATGGAAAAGAAAGAATATAAGGGCTCGATAGGAATGGACAACACCCAGATCTCCAGAAATGAGATTAACTGAGAAATATAAGCAAAGACTAATGAGGAAAAGGAGGAGGGGTGGGACTTGGACAGGGGTCCTGGTTCAGTGGCATGGGTAGAAACTTCTCACATTCAAGGACAATTATTCTGCAGGTCTTAAGCCAGCAGTCTGCTTAAAAACATCAGAAAAGCCAAACAATCTATGAGGATGCTCAGCTTAACATTTCCTATTTGAGCAGCTTGACAGTTGGGTGGAATGCTTAACTGATTCTTTTTTGTTTTAGAGACAGGCTCTCACTCTGTTTAAGAGTTTAAGGTACAGTTGTGTCTTCATCGCTCACTGCAAATTCAGCTCCTGATTCGCATAATCCACCCATCTTAGCCTCCTGGGTATCTAGAGCTAGAGAGGCACGCCATTCTTCCTCTGCTTTTTCTTTAAAACATTTTTGTCATAGAAACAACATTTCTTTATGCTGCCCAGGCTTGTTTCGATAGCCTGGTCTCAGAGGATTTCCCTCACTTTGCTTCTGAGAGTGGTGTGATTACAGGCATGACCCACTGCATCTGGCGTGGATTGATTCTTTGGTTGTCAAATATGCACCCAGTAATTAACTGCCCGAAGGTTTTCTTCAGTGAGTTAGAAGTTTCTGGCAAGATTCCTTCCAATATGATTCAAGAGCAGTACTTGCTGCTGATGTTCCTTCCAACTGCCTTGTTGAAGATCACAAGAGACTGTGGAAAACACGTAGTAAAAAGACGGACTTAAACTCCTCATGACTGGGGTGGATTCATGCAAGAGCCACTATCAGGGCTCAGTCTATAAGTGTACGTGCCTTTTAGCTACCAAGCCATAGGGTAATAACTGATGCACCCCAGGAGTGGACCGTGATTTCATAGTGCTAGTGGGGAACGCTTGGCCAAAGCAGTTTTACATTTGGTTGAAATTTGATGGTTTTTATTTAGATGTGCCATTTTTCTAACATTCCCAGAAGATGATCAATGGGATTGATTCTGTCTTATATGAACAATGACAATGCCCTCCATGGGTAGGTGATATTATAAACTAGATTGACCTAGAGCGGTTGCTGTTGCTGTATTTAATTATTATATTATTTTAGCTCCACGTTAGCTTTTTATTTGTGTGTTAGCATTTGCTTTAAAATGCTATTAATCAGCTCTCTAGTAGGTAGACATTTATCTGAAACTTTCTTCCCTTGTTGTCCATTTCGATAGGATTTCCAGAATGCATAGGCACCCTCTCTGTAAAAATATTCCAGGCCAGGCGCAGTGGCTCATGCCTGTAATCCTAGCACTTTGGGAGGCCAATCAATTTTTCAGCGGACCACTTGAGGTCAGGAGTTCTAGAGCAGCCTGGCCAATATGGTGAGGCCAGCCTCAGCATATTGGCTATGCTGGTCTTGTCTCTACTATAAATACAAAAATTAGCTGGACATGGTGGTGCACACTTTTAATCCCACCTACTTGGCAGTCTGAGGTGGGAGGATGGGTTGAACCCGGGAGTCAGAGGTTGCAGTGAGCCAAGATTGCGCCACTGCATTCCAGCCTGGGCAACACAGCAAGACTCCACATCTCAAAAACAAAACAAAAAATTCCAAAGTTGTGCACCATCTAGAAACATATGTACTTGATTCTCATTTTTAATTTATTAAAAAGCTATAATAAGTGCAATGTTTTCTCAGTTGATTTCACAACTCGTAGAATTATAAATCCTAAAGAAAATGTTGTGCTCTTAATACAAATTACTGGTTAATAACCTTTACTTTTATTATTGTGGTCTATCCATCAATATATAATGTTAATCAATGCTCTTAGTGGGACTCTTACCTAAAGAATATACAAGCTACCTTCCCGATTATGACATAAAACAGACGTGAAGACATTCTTAGTACTCAGGCACGTCCCCTGTCTGTCACATTATAAACCATAAGCTGACTTTGACTTCACGTGGAATTTGTTCTAATTTCAAACTAGTTATTGTGTTTATCTTCATGCGCTAGATAATTAGGTGAGGCTATTTTATCGGAGAGTGAAAAAGGCAACTTTCACAATTTTCAGGCAGGCATGTTTAGGCAAGCCCCTGTACACAGTGACCTTGGAGAGCTGGAGATTCTATGGGACCCTCCCCATCTGCCTGGGAGAGTCCCCTGCCTCCCACCTCTAGCATAATCCTCTTTGACGAAGTGTATGTGTATCTAACTGTCCTTAGAATAGAGACTAAACCAATCTTAACTGCTTCCAGCTGCCAGGGATGCTGTTTTGGGAAGATCTCTCTTGGGGGCCTGTCTAAGGGACCCCAGTAAAAGGGAGCCATTATCCCAGGCTCCAGCTGTGTGACCATTTAAAGTGTGATGGCCTGAAAATGTGAAGACACACATCGTGTTATTAGAAGACATGTATCAAAACCAAACACGGTGGCAACGACAGTTTGAAAGAAAATTCCAAGGCCGCTCACAGGTCCAGACAACCGGCGGCTGTAGTTATGCTAAGATTTGGGTGCATGGGGCTTGGCTTTTGTTAGCTCCCTTGGACCTATTTTCCCAAACAAAGAAACCTCTGGGTTAGGGGCACCCTGTTTACTCCCTTCGCCTGGCATGATTTGCAGGAAAATTGCTGCGAGTTGAAATATTGATCCGGATTTTTTATATTACCCATCCCCTTTTTGTTTATTCTGAGCTGCAGCCAGGGACCATTGCTTGGCTCTCAGGAACCGGGTTAGTCTAAAATGCAGGCAAATACTTGAAACGACTGAAGAGATTAGAATTTAAAGACGAATATATGACATATTTGAAATACAGTTTTTCTCTCCAGTTCTGATTTTTGTCAGAAACAAATCATGATAGGACAGAGTTGTTTGCAGAATAAACTTTGGTCCTGTATTTGGCCTGATTATTTGCATAAAGCACAACAGAAATAATTATTAGTAATTCTGTAGGAAAAGCCGGCACTCACTGGGAGCTCCGGAGTCTAACACTGTGGGCGCGTCCATCCTCAAGCAACTCACTGAATGTTCCTGAGTCAGCCCGTTCCTACCCCAAATGCCATCCAGCGGTGTCTGCCCCAGGCACGCGAATAGAGATCCTGGTTCTCTCTGCAGGCTTCTCTCTCCTCAGATTTCAGGTTTGTTTGTTTCTCTGTGGTATCAACTCAGGCATGCTGAAGATATTTTTCTTCATTTGTCGTTGTTTAGGTTTGTGTTTAATGAGATCAGAATAAGACCATAGTTTACTCATTTATTACATTCCCATGCTGAATAGCTGCTTTTCTATATAAAAATCCATTAACTGAGAGAACAAATCACATTTTGTTACAGGTTTATAAGTAAATAGTACTGAAATATAATGCAGCTTGAAATCAAGCCTTGCCTCACTCATATTTAAACGTGGCTAAATTCTCCAAGATTGGGCTGAGTGAAAGAAACTAATGAACCAAAAGTAAATTTTATATGATTCATTTGTAGAAACTCTAGAAGATACCACTGTTATAAATTAAAATGGAGAAAATTTAAATTTTCCTGTCTTTTAAAAGGCCGATATCCACAGTGAGAAATAGGACTGACTTCTGAAGATGCAGATGCACACACAGGGCCTGTGGTTCTCTCCACACATTGTAGGTGCATTGAAGAAAGTTGTCACAACAGATGCACACACAGGGCCTGTGGTTCTCTCCACACATTGTAGGTGCATTGGAGAAAGTTGTCACAACAGATGTGGAATCCTGCAGCCTTCAAGAGGCTTGCTCCACATGGCCCGGGAGGTTCTCAGGGGAGCAGCCCACTCCAGTGTTTAGAGCACAGGCCCAGATAACAGGACTGCATTTTTTAGATGTGTAATCTTAGATACACTGCGCAACTGCTGTGCTTGCTATGTAAATTTACCTTCTGTAAAATACAACATAGAAACCTGCATTAAAGGCATTGTGTGAATATGTAAGAATAAAAGAGGATAACGAGAGCTGAATGTAATGAAGGCACAATCACATAATATATTATTATATTTTCCTGAATGATAGAATTACTATCCATCTCCCCCAGGACTCTTCATCTGCACTGAACCCTGCCCTTGCCTCAGACCTCAGAGCTTGCTATATAATGGGGGACATGCAAATACGGCCCTCCCTCTACTGATGAAAACCAGCCCAGCCGTGACCCTGCAGCTCTGAGAAACGAGACCCAGCACTGGAAGTCTGAGTGCTCCATTCGGTGATCAGCACTGAACGCAGAGGACTCACCATGAAGTTTGGGCCGAGCTGGGTTTTCCTTGTTGCTATTTTAAGAGGTGATTCATGGAGAACTAGAGATACTGAGAGTTAGTTGGGGTGAGTGAGAAACAGTGGATGTGGGTGGCAGTTTCTGACCAGGATGTCTCTGTGTTTGCAGGTGTCCAGTGTGAGGTGCAGCTGGTGGAGTCTGGAGGAGGCTTGGTCCAGCCTGGGGGGTCCCTGAGACTCTCCTGTGCAGCCTCTGAATTCACCTTCAGTAGCTATGACATGAATTGGATCCGCCAGGCTCCGGGGAAGGGGCTGGAGTGGGTCTCAGCTATCAGTACTGGTGGTAGCACATACTACGCAGCCGTGAAGGGCCGATTCACCATCTCCAGAGACAACGCCAAGAACTCGCTGTATCTGCAGATGAACAGCCTGAGAGCCGAGGACACGGCCGTGTATTACTGTGCAGGTTACACAATGAGGGGAAGTCAGTGTGAGCCCGGACACAAACCTCCTGCAGGGGACCCCGCCACCACCAGGGGGCGCCCGGGCGCTGTGCACGGGGCTGTCTCGGGCAGGTGCAGGTGCTGCTGAGGGCTGGCTTCCTGTCATGGTCTGGGGCTGCCTCGTTGTCACATTTCCCCAGGGAACCTCCAGGATTTACAATTCTGTGCTACCCTGTAATGTATCTAAATGCAAAACTTTTTGTTCTTTTTTTCGTTGCTTTTTGTAACAGCAAATCCACACATCACAGTTTCAATTCCACAGTGTCACTTTGGGGGCAGAAATAATCCTTTCCTGGTCAACAGAATGAGAGTCCTGAAGAATCCCTGGGAAACCTGGGGAGGGTTCTCCAGCTGGACTCAGGGCAGAGACCTCCATTTGATTACAACAGGCTTTGAGTTCCGATGGGAGCCAAGGGACAGGCTCACTCGGGGTCGGGGTCCTTAAAACCTGATGGTATCACAGTTGTCTCCCTCGTCTTGTAAAACTGCGCACATCTGACTCAGACTGATTCAGTTAACCCTCTTTCTATTCCGTTTTCCTTCTCTGCAGACTTGATTCTCACAGTCCCCTTTCTTCTTCTCTTCCCTGAAAACGGAGGATGTGTTTTCTGTAGTCGAAATCCCAGGGCTCAGGTCTGCAGGACGGGGGTAGGCTGAGGGACTTTCTCACTCCCCATTGCCTGGATGCTCCTGGTGTCTTCTGTGCATGGAGGTATTTGGGAAATGAACTGGACATTAGCGATGAAGGGAATAATATTCATATTAATATTATTCATAGTAATACATAGTATAACAGGGTTAACTGAATCAGTCTGAGTCAGATGTGCAGCTTTTTACAAGACAAGGGGGGACAGCTTCTAACTACATCATGTTTTAAGGACTCTGACCCTGGGTGAGCTGTCTCTTGGCTCCCATCAGAACTCAAAGCCTGTTCTAATCAGAGATTCCCATGGAGGTCTCTGCCTGCCCCGAGTCCATTAGTATTGAGAAAATAGGGGCCTGCAGAGGAAATTAGGGCTGATTTATTACAGTACCTGGTGCAGGTGCCACTCACAGCATGGTGTTTAACATAGGAAAAAGCTAACGGGAATGTTTAATGAGTTGCTTGAGGATGTGTGTGCTAATGATGTTAGAGTGTGAAGTTCCCAGCACTTGCAGGCTTTTCCTGCAGAATTGGGAAAATCCCCAGACAATTCACCCACCTACTGTCCTGAGGTGTTGACTGGGGAGGAAGAACAGCAGCTCCGATCAATGCTGAATCCCTCTTCACTATATATGGGAGACTTTTATTAAATCTTGTGTGCTATGGGCACTGGTAGAATCAACTAGAACACAAGGAAACAGAGGACACCAAGGAAACTCTACCAGGAAATACCTGCCATCTCTTTCCTGAGGAATGGAATTTTGAATCTGTGGGGTAAGGACAGTGGGTCAGAAGCTGTGGACACTGATGAGAAACCTCTGTGGCTGGGAAGAGACACTGACACTTGGGGAAGGGAAGGAATAGGAACGCTTGGAAGGCCGTGCTTCAGAGCCAGTCTCCCCCCATAGCTAACAAGGAGGCTCAGGCAGGAGGCTGGAGAATGTCCCCCGTGTCCAGGAACCTTCACTACACAATCACCATGTAAAAATGTCAGCAGGATGCACCTTCCACAGCTGAAATAAGTTTGATGAAGACAGAGAGCTATCCCAGATGAGGGAACCTCGCTTCCCCCCGTCAGAGATTGCTGCTCAGCTGTAATGGAGGGATTCATAATTAAAGCCCCTAGAAGCCTATCTTAGCACAGCTCCATTATGTAACTTACCACCATTGGACTGCAAGGAACAGCTCAAACTTGATTTTTCTGACCCTATCTCATCTTATTCATTTGTAAGTTTGGATATAGAAAATGTTATCTTTTCATTTCTGATTCAAACCTCAGAAGTTAATGGACTCATTAGGAATAATACAAAATCTGTCTAATTTTTGGAAATGTAAATGAATGTTCATACATTGTGTGTGTGTGTGTGTGTGTGTGCATGTGTATGTGTGAGTCACTCATGCCTCAATAACAGGATTACTGAATTATATCATCAAACTACAATTACAATTACTCAAAATTGCCTGCAGTAATATCTGTGAGGCTGATCCTGTCACCTTGCTGTGAGGATGCTCAGTGCATAGGTGAGGTCTACACAGGGGAGACCCAAGGTGCAGCGCCAAGGCCTGGTGGAGATCCTCATCTAGAGCCAGACATATGAATGGGTGTCTCAGAAGCAGATCCCCCAGCCCTCTTATCTGGGCTGCATGGGCAGCAGAGGGCCAGCAGGAGATGGTCAGAAATCACCCAAACAGAGCCCCAAATAGCAGCAGATGCAGAGAGAAACCAATCAGAGAACCTATGACCACAATCCAGAGTGATTTTCTTTTACTTAACAGAACCCAATTCTAAGGAGACCACCCACTATATCATCTGTAACTCGTAAGTTTCTGTTCTAAAGTAAAACAGAAGTAAATATTACTCTGCATTTAACTTGAACCAGGATCATTTTTCTGAGAATGTCACCATCTTCAATATGATGGTTATCAGGTCAAAATCAACATGCATATGTAGTCACCATAAAGACTGTTTTATCTCATAGTAAAATGTGTATTCGATTAAAAATTACATTTCTCGGGAAAAAGCCTGTATTAGTTCGTCCTCACACTGCTACAAAGATATCACCTGAGACTGGGTAACTTATAAAGAAAATAGGTTTAACTTACTTACAGTTCTGAATGGTTGGGGAGCCTCAGGAAACTTACAATTACAGTGGAAGGCGAAGGGAAAGCAAGTACCTTCTTCACAACACAGCAGGGAGAGGAGGAGGAGAAGGAGAAGATGATGACAGAGGAGAAGGAGGAGGAAGAGGAGGAGGAGGAGGCACAAACTTATCAAACACAGCAGGAGAGAAAGAGAAGAAGGAGGAGGAGGGGGAGGGGGAGGAGAAGGAAAAGGAGGAAGAGGAAGAGGGGGAGGAGGAGGAGAAGGAGGCACAAACTTATCAAACAACCAGATCTCCTGAGAACTCTATTGGGAGAAAAGCATAGCGAAAACCACTGCCACAATTTAATCACCTCCCACCTGACCCCTCACCAGACACTTGGGCTTTTACAATTCAAGATGGGCTTTTGGTGAAAACACAGAGCCAAAGCATATCAGGATTTCTAGGTGAGAATTGGTCAATTAATAAGTTATTAATGAAGTGTCAGAAGAATAAATGACACTAGTGGTGTTGTTACACAGTTAATCTGTAAATTATCTCAATATTCATTTTATGAAAGGTCTGAGACAAGTAGGAGATGGAGAGATACACAGTTAATTCTACCAAGTGCTATATATATATATATATATATATATATACACACATATTATATGTAGTATAGAAATAGTATTTAATAAAGCATTTCATAGAATTAATATACCTAGTGTTATATATATACATAAAGTATTTGATATAATTTATATATATACTATATATAAATATGCACACACACACACTTACACACTCTACGATGTCTATAAAAATGTCTCCTGGGATTTAGTGTTAACTTTTGCATATCTATGTATATTCCAGGGTAAATATTAGTGGACATAATAAAATAGATTCTAATATTTATGTGCAAGATGATCACTTCCAAACACAGTTTAACAACAGAAACCAGATATATCTTTCTACCAGTAATTACCGAAAAACACAGTGAAATTTCTTAAACACGATTTTAAGATGCTTGACATCAGGCAACAAAGACAGTGATTACTGAGAGAGAGGAAATAAGCAAAAGGAGCCCCGTGATTAATGCACGCTCATATCCTTCATTAAGGGAGAGGACAGGCTGCATTCCTGCAGTGGGACCCTGTGGATTTAGAATTAATAAAAATCTCTCATCCCCAGGTATTCTTTTATAGCAATTAAATAATTGCTCCAACAAAGAAAGTACTTGATTTTAAAGGAGACGATGAGGATGGAACCATCAGAATGAAATTAGTGACCTCATAAGTAGAGACACCAGAGTCTCTATTTCTCCCTGTCTCTCTCTCTCTCTCTCACACACACACACACACACACACACACACACACACAAACACACACGCACCCCACAATGAAAAGGTCATATGATCAAGTAACAACATGGTGACTGCGATGAGCCAAAAGCAGGGGCTCAAAATAAAACCGATCTTATTAGCATCTTGATCTTGGAGCTCTGAGAATTTAGATAAAATTAATATTGCATGAGTCACCAATTATGATAGTTTGTAATGACAACTTAAATTGACAAAAGACAATCTGTGATTAAGAAGCGGAATTCTGATGTTATAACTGTTTAAACTTGTAAAAGTAACTTGGAATTGGGATGTGTATAAAAAGATGTATACCTTTTATGTACATGAAGACATTTGTATATTGAAGTCCATTCTGATATGCAGAGAAGAGTTAGTGGTTTTGGAAATTGGAAGAATCGTGATCGTCATCATAAAGTTGTTAAAAAGGACTTGGCTGGACTGCGTTATAATATTTAGTGAAAGAGAACGTGCGATTAGTGATAACTTGGGAGTAGCTGAGAATGATTCTAAATAAAGTGTTGAAGACATTGCTTGGTTCCTCCTTCATGCTTATAATAAAACAGAAAGAAAAATTAATATCAGGAAAAAAATTATAGGCCAAAAAAATACAAAAATTGAGGGCTTGGAAAATTCTCAACCTATCCATACTGTAAAAATCAAAAAGTATATTCTAAAGAGAACACTGAGTGTGTGGCTGGAATGTCACCCAGCAGGAAGCTTATGTTATTACAGGAAAAGAAATATTTCAGGTTTTAAAGAACGAGGATTGATATGAGATGAATTTGATCAACACTGTCAGAATTTTTTTATTTAACATGCCGGAATAATGACTGGCTGCGAATGTGCACCATTCTTCCAGAAGAGAGAAAAATAAACTTTAAATTTACCTTGAAACCATTGGGACCACTGCCTTTATTTCAAAAGACCAGAAAGCCTGTTTCCAAAACCTTGAGAATAGAACCACCCAACAGAGGCTTGGGCTTCGGGACACCCAGCAAGCCCTGTGTGAGGGCTGCATGAGGCTTTGAGACGTGACCTTGGCCTAGCAGTGCCTCAGGAGCGGTGCCTCTGCCT